AGGGCAAAGGTCAGGGGTGTATGTCAAAAGCTCCAGCAGCAGAAAAGGGAAATAATAAACTGAGTCATACAAACTGTAGGTGGCGCTTCCCCAGGCCTCTCCGGGCACCTCTATGGGGCCTGAATCCAACTGCCTTTCTCCAGCGTGGAGCCACCTCCACAGGACCCAGCATCTGTGGAAAACATCTCCAGAGTCTGGAAACATCTGGAAGGAATCTGGCCAATATGGTAACCCCGGGCTTCCCAGCGGGGCTGCACCTCTCACTTCCTTTATCTCCTGGCCAAGTCCACAGTCGGGGAGTTCATTGCCCCTTGGGCTTCGGGGACTCGCCCGAGTTCTCCTCTAGATGGCAGCCTTAACCACTAAACCCCACCCGCTTTCCACCAAGGCGGAGAGAGAAGGAAAAAGGAGGTGCAACACCCTGTCAGGTGTGCCTCATTATCTCTGTTTTACACTGGAGAAAATGAGGGCTCTGGTCTCATGAAGCCACAAATCCAAAGTTTCATAGAAAGGCAGGCACAGTGGTCCTTGCTTCTCTGGGTCTCCATTTTTCTCATCTGCAAGACAAAACGGACCCACCTCTGGCAACGCTCATCTACTTTCTGTCTCTATAGATTTGCCCAGTCTGGACATTTCATATAGATGGGGCCATACAACATGTGGTTTCTTCCACTTAACACTATGTTTCCAAGGTTCATCCATGTTTTAGTATATATCAAAACTTCATTCCTTTTTATGGCTGAATAATGTTCCATTGTGGTCTCTACTGCTTTTGCTTATCCATTCGCTGGTTGGTTTTTCCATTCATTTGGGTTTTGTTTACTTTGGGGTTGTTATGAATAACGCTGTGTAGGGTAAGGAAAAATGTCAGGCTTTTCTGCCTTCCCACCATCAGGATAGATGATGGATCCTTGCGGTCCTGAATGCATGCCTGATGGCGGGCACCTGGAGTAGGGTGTGGGCATAGGTAGATGGGATTCACCTGGGCTGAGACTGGGCTTTTAAGGCGGCGTCACGGGGACGCCAGCAGAAGCTGAAAGAGAAGCCAAGAGAGAAGCAAGAGAAGCAGAAGCCGAGAGAAGGCGGGAGAGCCCAGGGTGAAGACCTGCTGGGGGCTGGGAGGCCTGCCAGCCTCCCCGCCCCCCAGCGCCCCTCCCTGCCATGTACCTGGTAATCCCAATAAAAACCTGCAAAACCACTGAGGGCTCTGACTCCTCCTTTGCCTGGTCTGCTGGATATTAGAAAACCTGCCCTGTGTCCTTTCCTGCCCTCTACATGCTGCTATTAATACTCACATGCATGTTTTTGGGTGAACCTTTGTTTTCCATTCTCTCAGGTTTATATCTAGGAGTGGAATTCCAGGGTCATCAGGTAACACTGTGGGACTTTTTGAGGAACTGCTTCCCAAAATGGCTGCACCAATTTGAATCCCCACCATCAATGTGCGAGGACTTCACTTTCTTCACATTGTGGCCAACACTTGTTCTTGTCAGTCTTTTTGATTATAGGCATCTAGTAGGTGACCGACTCTCCTCGTGGTTTTGATTTTCATTTCTCTCATGACAGTTTATGTTGATGTTGAGCATCTTTTTATGTGCTTACTGGCCTCTGTGTACCTTCTCTGGAGATTTGTCCATTCAAATCATTTACCTCTTCAATACACTTGGTTAACATTATCTCACACACACAGTGCATTCACATGCCATTCAGATTTTTTTAAAAAAATGTATGCATACAAGTCCTGGGGTACAGGCCAGAGGTGCGGGGGGCAGGTGTGAGAGGATTCACCAGAGAGAGTGAGGAACAGAAATACACTGCTGAGGGGAGCAGCGGGGAGTCAGGAGAAGTCTGCTGCGCCATGTATGTCAGCTCCCTGGCCCAGGATCGAACTCAAGCCGTCACAGTGATACCGTTGAAACTTAACTCCTGGGGAATATGAGTTCTTATTATCATCATTGAAAGGGCCTGGCACTCCCAGGGGAGGGGGCACAAAGATGGAAACAAAGCCTGGGTGCAGCAAGAAGTCAGATGTCCAACCTCTGACTGCTCAAGCCACTGGGCCATTTGAGTTGGGCCTTGAAAGAATGGCCAGATTCAGGCACAGGGCTCTGGAGGGGAGGAGCATGTAAGCAAAACCCTTGAAGTGGGAGAATGGAGGGCAGGAATGGAAAACTGCAGGTAGTTTTATGGAGGGCCTCTTCGGGCCCACCTCACAAACATTAATATATATTAAATATATTTTATAGCTCCTCCCCAAGGATTTTATATCCAGCACCTTACTGAATCCTCGTGTAAATGGAAATGTCCCTTTGGCCATCCCCATTTCGAAGATGAGGGAATCAAGGCCCAGAGAGGTGCAGGGCTGTGAGGGCACAAGTCCAGGAATGGATGGGGTGGGGATTCAAGTTCAGGGAGAGGAACTGCAGGGCTGTGCCCCATCCCTCTCCCAGGAATTAGTCCGTTCCCAGGCAGTGAAACTCTAAAATCAGCCCCAGCTGCCCGAAACTCAACCGCAGAGAGCTGGCTCCCAGCCCCCTTGCTGGCTCCCTTGTCTCATCTCAGCCCCACCCTGCCACCCCCATTTCTCTTCCTGGCCCTGGGGCCCTACTCTTTCCCCAAACCTGCTCTGCCACAATTCCTTCCAGGTTCCTTCATCTGTAAAATGGGGATAATGATAGTGCCAGTCATAGAGGGGTGTTGTGGGATCAGAGGAGATGCCTGAGAGTGGGGGCCGGGCACACACAGTAGGTTCTCAGAAACGGTAGCCACCATTATCACCACCGTCATGTCAGTAATGGTGCTGATGTCCCGTGAAGCTGGCCCAGTGGAAGCGTGACCCTGCCTGATGGATGACAGGGTGGAGAGGGGACAGTGGCAGCCTGTCCAGAGTCACTCCACTAGGAAGTGAGACTGGTACTTGAATTGGGGCCCCTGAGTTTCTGACTTCAGATCCTCTCTTTGCTGGGAAGATGAATGAATCATATAATTAATATTTATTACCAGCCATCTGCATGCTAAACCAGACCCTAGATGCTGAGGGGCATTCAGAGAGCTACCATTTGGATCCTTGAGGGCACGTAGAACATAACTGATGAACATGGCATGAAAACAAAGCCTTGTTTGTTGAGGCAGAACATACTTAGAGTCCAAGGAGGGCAAGAGGCACTCTGACTGGGAGAGGAGACATAGGCCGGGAAGGCTTCCTGGAGGAGGTGAGGTTTTACTTGGGCCTTAAAGGACCAGTGAAATATGTTTACTGGAGTGAAGGGGTCTGTATACTGCAGATAAAACCAGAAATTTACAACAGCTGTCATTCCTTGATGTACCTTGTGAACCAAGCTCTGTGCTGAGAGTTTTACATGTATCACCCTGTGAGATTTCTCCACAATACTATCAGGTGGGTATTATTAGAGAGGAGAAAACAGGTTCAGAGAGTTTAAAAACCTTGTGTGGAGTCGCACAGCTAATAAAAGTGTCAGGGCCCGAGTTTGAATATAGGTCTGTCTGCTACAAACTCTGCATTCTTAATCACTATGTATTATTGCCACCTCATCCTCAGGATCTGAGGTATTACGCTGGGGACTATCTGCACGGCTTTGAACACCCGGTTCAGACTTGCATAAATATCTCAAAACACCAGGCAGGTTTCCACAGACCTGGAAGAATTTAGCAGCAGCCTCCTGCAGCTCTGCCTTGCAGGAGGAACTAGCAGAGGTCCCTACTCAGCTGTGGCATCCCTAAGCTGGAGAGGAGAGGACTGTAAATGGATGATTATCAGCACAGAAGATTCTCAATCAGGGAGGGAGGCTCTCCTGACAAAAGGATTATCTAGGTGAAATCTGGAGATGTTTGAATATTTACAGTGATGGGCTCTGGGGAATACAAGACAGAGCTCTCCACTCTGGACCCCCAGTGCCTGCAAGGAGCAGGGCACAGCTAGGCAGAGCGGGGGAAGAGCCTTTTATTGGAACAAGCAAAGGCTCAGGAGCAGAGCTGGCCCACAGGGAAGCCCAGTTCTCAAATCAGTGAATCTGCCTGCGTTACCTAGAGTAGCACCCCCTTCCCAGGCTTGTTGAATTAAATTAAGCCACACATGTCATGATCCAACAGGATGCTTGACATACTGTGGGTGCTCAGGAGAGGTTAGTATTCCTCTAGGAACAGGTATAAATGTTGGACTCTGCCCCTCGCCACCCCCAACCGGCCCTCCCCACAAGCTTTTATTTGAAGGGGGTCTGGTTTGGCTATAAATGCATCAAATTAACACGAGGCCTAAGGTCTGGGCCTCACGTCAGGACTCCGTGTCGATGTTCCCGCTGGCGCTCTGGGCGCTGCGCGGGCTGCCTCCGCCAGCTCGCGGGGTGTCCCTCAGGTGGGCGGCTCGCGCCGGCGCCGGGCCCGGCAGCGCGGCGGCCCCTTTAAGCCGCGGCGAAGGTCTCCCCGCCGGGCTTCGGGGCCGCTTCTTTCCGGGGGGCGGGGCTTCGCCCGTCGCGCCGTCCAATCGGAGCGCGGCATTTTCCGCGGGAGATCCGAATTTCGCGGCACGCAGTTTGGCGCTAAAAAAAAAAGAAGGAAAAAAGAGGCTGAGACGGGCCCGGGGGCCAGAGAGCGAGGCGCGAGCAGCCCGCGCCGTCCGCGCCCTCCTCTGACCGAGCGCGTCGCGCCCCCGCCTGAGCGAGCGCACCCCAGAACCCCCGCACCGGAGCGGGCCGGACCCCCGAGCCGAGGCCTGCGGGCGCGCGGGCCGGCCGGGTCGCGGCCGCCTCGGGGCGGGGCAGCCCCGGGCCCGGCTCTGCGCGGCGCCGGCTCCCCGGCGGCGACCTCGGAGCGCGGCGCTCGGCAGCCGGCCAGGAGGGGAGGGTCCGGCCGAGCCCGCGGGCGTTCATTGGCGCTTCCCGGCCTCCACGCCATGCCGCGGGCCGTGTGAGCCGCCGCGGGCTCGGGGCCCGCAGGTGCCCGCGGAGCGCCGCGCGCGGGGGGAAGGGGGCGCTGCACCCGCCATGCTTCGGGGGCCCGCGGCCCTGGCTCCCGCCGCCGGGCCGCTCCCCAAGGGGCTGGCCGCGATGGGCGCCGCCGAGGTGTGGCCGCCGGGCCTCGGCAGCCCGCAGCTCCGCCAGACCACCACCGCCTGCTACCACCCGCCGTTCCCGCCGCCGGTGCCGCCCGCCGCGGCGCCCGGCACCTGCCTCGACGCCACCCCCCACGGACCGGAGGGCCCAGCTGTGCGGTGCGCGCCGGCCGGCCGGCTGCCGGTAATGCTGGGGACCCCCGCGCCTCCTCCCCCTGGGCTTCGCCGGGCGTGGGAAAGAAGGGAGGGGAGCCGGGGATCCCGGTTTGAGGGAAGCAGGTCGAGTTTTGGGAGATGAGCTTTCACTTCCAGAACTTTCCGTTGTCCCCAATATCTGAGCAGAAGAGCCCTTAATTTTCCAGTTTTGGATGAGATAACGTCATGCACTGGAGTGGCTTGGCGTGAGCACTGGGAGGGTGGAGACCCAACCATTATCCCAGGACTCCTTGTGAGCTTGGGGCATCCACAGGACCAGCATTGCCACGGTCCATTCATTCATTCATTGTTTGGCCAAGAAACTGGTACTGGCACCTGCTATTGTCTAGACACAGGGCTTGGCCTAGGGACACAGCGAGCACTAGAACGGGGATGGCGGGGGTGAGGGGATAGAGGTCTCACAGGTACAGTTTGGCTTGGATGGACAGACTCCAAATTTTCCCTCCAGCCAACTCCTTCCCAATTTTTTTGCCCTAGCTCCTTCCAGGTCCAGGCAGCCAATAGCAGGTGCAAGTCGGGGCGGTCCCTAGGGTTCCAGTTCAGATTGACTTCCCTCCTCAAGCCCCCAAGGTGGCTGCCAGGGAGAGCCCACAGTGGCACCATGGGCAGGGTGTGTTTCTGGGAGTGGAATTCTTGGAGCCCATAAGAACGGAAACAGCCATCAGGTGGGAGTGCAGTGGGAAAAGCCCAGGGGGAGTGGGGGTGGTGTCTGGATTCTGGATTCTGGTCTGAACTGCTGTTCATTTATTGGGCTCTTGAATAAGTCTTGGCCCCCAGTCTGGGCTTCAGTTTCCCTTTCTTGGAAGCGTGTGTCTCTGTGGGGTAGCTGTGGGACTAACCCTCTTGGCTGACTTTCAGCTCCAGGTTGTAGATGTTAGAAGCAGGCTGCAGGGAGGGGAGGCTGAGGTATATGTTTGCCCAGTTGTGAGTAAATTCAGCTAAAGGGGTAAGACCACTCCCCACTGCTGATAGGTATCTGGTTAGACCCGAGTCAGTCAGCTGGCACATACCGCTAGCCATCTCCCCACTCCTGGAATTATGCTTTACCTATGCTCAAGCTTCGAATCTTCCCTTTATTGTTTCCTGTACATTTTTTCCAACTAAAAGGCAGTGAGAGTACTCTTCCCATCTTACAGGTCAAGCAGGTTAGGATAACTGGGACTGGGTATCTGTGTTTAGCATTTTACAGCCAAAACAACAACAACAGAAAAAGTGTGCCCTGTGAAGCAGATAGCACTAGCAGCTCCATGGTATGGGGGAAACTGAGGCTCAGAGAAGTGTGACCTTTCAAAGGTTCCGCAAGGCAGGTGATCATGAGTCTCTTCTCTGCCACCGTGACTTGGCCCGGTGGGTGGTGGGTGCCCGAGAGAAGAGGCTCAGTCCCTCCTCTGGCCAGCTGCTTTCAGGTACCCAGGCGGAGTTTCAGGAGCAGCTATGCTTTTAAACTTCTTCCCTCCCAGAGAAACTTGGGTGCTTCTGTCTATACCTCCCTCCTGGAGGGGGCTCAGTGATCACAATAAGAATGCCTCTCTCTGCTGGATGCCTCTCATGTGCCAGGCACTGCTTGGCATTCTCATTTGTTACCTTGGTCAAGATGCCTGGGATGAGGCATCTTACAGATGAGGAAACTGAGCAGAGACTTGAAGTTACTTGTCTGAGTCACAAGCCAAGAAGTAGGGGAACCTTCTTGCATCAGACCACCCTAAAGGCCTGTGAGGGCCGGAGCCTCCTCTCCTGTCCATCTCCAGATGTCCCATGCCCCTCAGTCCCGTGGGCAGGCCTTGGCCCCCTGCTTACTCATTTTACTAGGGTGTGACCTGGAGCAGTTCCAAACCTAACCCTGGGTGTGGCCCCTTGCTTTGTGGCCTGGCTGCAAAGTGCAGGGTTAGCAGGATTTGTTGGGGAGCTGCTGTTTAAAGGGCTTTCAGGCACAGCCCAGGAGTGGCGACCGAGTCCAGTGGCAGAGCAAGGGCCAGAACCCAGGTCCCCTAGTGCTCTTTCCACCACCCTCTGGAGAAGACTTGGAAGGCTACTTTGTGGAGTCCCTCCGCTTGCCAGGCATGTTGGGTGATTCTGTTTCATCCCTCGCAGGAACCTGTCAAGGGTGGGGGGTTCTGGACAGTTCTCCTTTTCTTGTGGTTTGTCCAAATTTCCTCTGAGAACCAAGAAAGAATATGAATATTTTAACAAACATCCCAGCAAGGCGGGTCAGATGAGGAAATGTAGGCTCAGAGGCCCTGGCTCCTGGGCAGCAGAGCTGGATCTGAAAGTGAGACTCTCCCCTCCTTACACTGTTCCTCCCTGCTCCATGCATCTAACTTAGGTTTGAGGGCCAGGAGACACCTGCTACCCTCCCTGTATGACCTTGGCAAGTCACTTCTCCTCGGAGCCCTAGTTTCCTCACCTCACTGCCCGGGTGTCAGGTGGGCTCTGCCCTACTCATTTGACCTGAGGAAGGAGCTTTGCTCTTCTTCCCTAGGGTGGCTGGGAATCCTAACCAGGCCTTTAGGAAACAGCCAGAGAGGCTGCCTCGGGAGGTCCAGGTTAGAGACAAGCTGGGTGTGGTTCCAGACCTTTGCTCTGTGCCTTTTCAGCTCACCCTGAATGTTCCCATGCTGGGGGGTGGTGTTAGCATCTCCCAGCACAGGCACTGGCACCTGGGCCAGGCGCCTCGAGCTCTCTGACTGGATCTCCAGCAGAAGTGGGGTACATTATTTACATCTTACTGGTGGAGCTCAAGAGGTCCACACACTTGCTGGGCTCCCCCAGCTAAGAAGGGGGGCCTAGATGGGAGTGGGGTGGAGCAGGGAGGCCTGTGCTCAGCCTCTCCTGGCTTGTCATCCTCTTGAATATGTCTTCTTCCACTTGGATTCTGCAGACTCAGCCCCCTCCATGGCTGGCTTCTCTCTGGACAGTGCCCGCAGGGCCCAGGGAGGTGTTCTTGGAGGCAGGGAGATACTTTGCAACTTAGGGACCTTGAGAGTACAGGATAAGGGTGAGGGAGAGCAAGAGAAGGAAGTGGGCAGAGTGTGCGTGTATGTGTGCGTGTATTAAGGTGATGGGGCAGTGGACATAGCTAGACCTGGGCAGAAATTGCAGCATTCTGGGAGGGTATGTGGGGATGGGGCTGAGGCTGCCTGGTATATGACTTTGGAGGATAGACATACCTCTAAACTCAGACTGTGGTTTCATTCTCTGTGACCCCGGGCATATGGCTTAAAGTCTCTGAGTCTGCCAAGAGAAATGGCAATTCTGGTGGTATAAGCTGGTGAGCACATGCTATGCCCAGCAAGGGTGCTGTTAGGGTTCTCCCTGCCTTATCCACTCTGCAGGAGGTTCTTCCTGTTGTGAACGCAGCAGGGGCCCGCTCCTGTCAGGTGGGGGAGGTGGCTGGGTGGGGTTGGGGAGACTGGGTTGCCCCACCCCACCTCAGACAGAACTCAACCTGATCTTCCCTTTTCCCTGTCCTGGGGCTTCCTTCTGAGAGGTGGGTGGAGGACCCTAGGATGGAAGATTTGATCGGGATTGATAAAGGTCTTGCTCACCAAGTCTCGTTAACTTTAGCTGTAAAATGGGGACCTGTGGTGGGTAGGTTCAGTGAGGTGATGAATGTTGGAGTTTGGCCCAAGGCAAAGGTGGAAAGGCTCAGTGAAAGCTGGGATCTTCTAAAGACAAGACGGGGCTAGTACAGGTCATCTGCCCTAGAATCTATCATATCACCAGCTGGGAGCTTAGAAAAGGAATATTCCAGTGAGATCAAGAGGAAGGAACAGGGAGGTGTTTGGATCATGTTTTGTTCTGTGTAAGGGTGAATGAGAGAAGCATCACATCCACACTCCTCAAATCAAGGAGCAGTGCTCTTCAAATCAATCCAGGAAAGCTTCCTGGAGGAGGCAAAAGTGGGGGGAGCTGACAGCAGGAAGAGCTGTCACCACCTCCCACACCTGTCAGCCCAGCTGTGCTCAGCAGCAGTTAGAAGTGTCAGCCCCGCCAAGCATGACCTCACCACTGAAAGTTAAAATAGGCCTCTCTGTCCCAACGGGGGTAGGAGTATCTGGGAGGCCAGTTGGAGGGGGAGAGAAAGGAATTGGGTTCAGTGGGCCCCAGGAGGATGCATCAAGGAAGAGAGTGAAATTGGATTTTGAGGAAGGTCTCTGAATTTCCTGAACACCTACTGTGTGCTGGGCCACAGTTTGAGCACTTACAGGAGTATTCTCACTGGATCCTTACGACAGCCTCATGAGTAGGTATTTTCTGCCCCATTTCACAAAGGAGGTAACTGCATTTCCCTCAGTCATGGTGAGCCCTTGAAGGAGATGGGCGGTGGGAGCCCAGGACTCTGACCTGTACCCCAGTGCCCCAGTGCCCTTGCCCTGCCCTTTCCCAGCACTCGCCAGGACAGAGGCCCTTTCCAGGCCAGTGCAGCTTCGGAGTCTAATTGGGGCCTGGAGGAGGAGGGGTGGAGAGGAGCAGATGGGTCTGTGGTTTGATTTCCCCAGCAGGTGTTTCCCAAGCTTGGCGGGAACAAGAAGGGGGGGCAGGGGGACCTCAGCTGCTTGTCCTTAAGACATAGGGGAGGGATTCATTGTCTGCCCCTCTCAGCAAAGAAAGAATGGCAAATGGAGTCTATTCAGGAGGTCCTAGGGCCCTTGAGTTGCAGCCCAAATATGGGGGTGGGGGTGTTTGCACTGCTTCCCGATGTAGGCACCTCCCTGGGGTGTGGCACCGAGCCAGGAAGTCCCCTGGGCCTGGGCGGATGCCCGGCCCCACCCTGATAAGGGCCAGCTGTGGGGCTATGATGGGGATCCAGTCTGACTTGGCCAGCTGCTTCTGGGGGGGGTTGGGGGAGCTCCCCCAGCCTAATGTGGTTTAGGCCCCACCCACTCCTTCCTCCCTGCATCATCTTCTGGGTTGGATGAGAGAAAAAGTGACCTTGGAGCCTGTTATTGGGAACCCCGCACTCTGAGCCACATTGGTAAGGTCTCAAGTGCCTGGACCTCAGAGGGGTGTGTTGTGGGCACATCAGGAAACAGCGCTTCCTGCCTTTGATAGCTTTATTTTCAGGTCATTGATATTTCCTTACCAAGTACAGCGGTGCTTCACCAGGACAGGTGATAAACTGAGGCCCAGTAGGTGGCTGCTAGTGGCCTCAAGTGTTTTGGCTCCAGGTCAAGGAGAGGCTACAGGAGAATTAATTCTCAAACGCTGCCCTTGTCTTCCCTCTCTCTCCAAGGCCAAAAGGAAGTTGGACCTGGACGGCATCGGGAGACCTACAATCCCTGAATTCCGTACTCCCAAGGGGAAGTGCACTAGAGTTGATGGCCTCCCTAGCCCCAAAAGTAAGCCATGCTGATGGGGCATCTCCAGACGGACTCAGAAGACTCGGTGGGGGGTGGGGGGCAGAGTGCAGCAGCCCTGACCAATCTAGCACACTTTCCGGTTTACAAAACAGTTTCCTGTGGCTTCTCACTCAATCCTGCCAGGTAGGTAGATTATCCCTTTTTACCCATGAGGCAACTTGAAACTCAGAACTTGAGTGACTTGCTGAAGGTCACACAGCTAGTAAGGGGAGTCAGGGTTAGAACCCAGATACCTGTGTCTAGCACTACTTAACCACACCACACGCTGCTTTCCCTAGTCTAAATGTGATGGCTAACGTTTTATTTGGGAGCTTACCATTTTATTTTGAGTTTGATCTGGTCTATTATTCTAACTGGGAGAATTCAGCTCAGAGCGGAACGGGCTAACCACGGCCTTTTTCCTGCATGGAGACAGATCTAAAGCAGTGATTGAAAGGGAAGTGAGGCTTAGACTGTGTCACATCAGACACTGCCCAGGTGGTGCCTTTCTAAAGCTAAGTTGGAGGGAATTTCTGCCTCTTGATATTGCTAGTTAATATTCTGGAGAGAGCAGGAACTATATGTTAGGGAGGAATGCTAATTGGAGGGTCAGAGACCTAATGGAAAAGGCATGTGATGGGGGCTGCCTGAAGGACAGGATTCTGCCCTGACTTGACTCGTCACCCCTCTTTTTGAACTTTAGTTGTCTCATCTATAAAACAAGGCACTACCTCATCAAGAATAGCAAGAAACGTTCTTCTTCCATTGATTGGTAGAAGTTGCCAAGAGCTCTTTGTTGAAGGATCCTAAGTGCAGTGATCAACTAGTAATGTCTGCCATGGATACAAAACTTGCAAAGTAGTCTTTGTGCCAAACATTTGCCATCCATACATTAGGAGGTTCTAAAGTCCTGTTTTAGAGGAATCTGAGGCCCACTAAAATTCAGTTTCCAGAACTAACTTGCTCTATGATTTGCAAGTCACTTGATTGCAAAAGTCCTCTTGTGGTTTAAGATGCAGCTGAGATGTGGTCTTGTAACATCAACCTCATTAAGAAAGATGTTTTTCATAAACCTGCCCCATTTGATATTATTGGACTGATTCCCCTCAGATAATCATTGGACTCTATGTGGAAAGAAAGGCAAGTCTATAAACATGTTCTCAAATCCAAGCTTGTCATTTCTTTCTTACACCACTTCCAAATTCCTGACATAACTGGCAGGATAGGGTAATGGTTTAGAAGGAAGACTCTGGAGCCAGACTGCCTGGATTTAAATGCTCACTTTGCCATTTTCTGAGTGTGCTGAGCAAGTTACTTAACCTGTCTGTGCCTCAGTATTCTCATCCAAAAAATGGAGGTGGCTGTACAGCAACCTCATAGGGTATTATAAGGATTAAATTCGTTATATATGGAAAGTGTTTAGGACAGTGACCTCCACTAAGTATCATTGTGGTAGCGGTGGCTATGCCTGCCCGGAGTTGTGGTGGGAAGGCCTCTGAACCAGGAGTTAGGACACTTGGTTTCCAGCCCTGACACTGCCCCTGACCGAGACCTGAAGCAAGTCACTTTCCCTCTATAGGTAGCAGGTTCCCTGTTAGGACAATGGTGGTATTGTCCCCCACAGTGCTCTGTAAACTGGAAAGTGGGTGCTCTCAGAAAGGGTGGTACATAATGGGTCCAGGTCAGGGGGACAGTCCCCCAGCTGGCCCTCTCTGAGAGGAGACTGGCTCCCTTTCCTCCTCAGCCCCCAAGTCCCCTGGAGAGAAGACTCGGTATGACACATCGCTGGGGCTGCTCACCAAGAAGTTCATTTACCTCCTGAGTGAGTCCAAGGATGGGGTCCTGGACCTGAACTGGGCAGCTGAAGTGCTGGATGTGCAGAAGCGACGTATCTATGACATCACCAATGTCCTGGAGGGCATCCAGCTCATCCGCAAGAAGGCCAAGAACAACATCCAGTGGGTGTGAGTGCTAGACTGGCGCTGAGGGCACCAGTGGGTGCTTGTGCTGTGGACAGGGCCAGGGGCAATATCCAGTTGGTGTGAATGTCAGAAGTGGGGCTGAGAGCAGCATCCAAGGGGTTTCCACACCGGGGACAAAGTTATTGTATTGGGGGGCGGGTAGCAGGTGCACACACTGGAGTGATATTGAGTGAACAGGGTGAGGACAGGTGGAAAATGATTTCTTGGACTTGTAAAAGTTTATGAGGACCCCAGATTCTTTTGAGTCAGGGATCCTAGATTCCTCTCTTCTAGTTTAGGACTGTCGCTGAGAGATAGTAACCCAGACTCCTTCCAGCTCTGGGATATGAGCACCCCCGGCTCCTTTCCTCCCTCTGCAAGGTCTCAGAGAACAGATGTACAACCCCTGGCATGAGCCCTAAGAGACCCCAGGTGGGACCATCAGGACTGAGATCACTGCAGCTCCCTGCCATTTCGGGGAAGTTGGAGGCATAGGATGGACAGAGTTGAGAGCCCCCAGCACCAACCATGTGAATGACCTCCTAGAGTTTTACCCATGTCACCTTGCAGCTCTGCAAAGCAGCCCTGGGGGTCGGGTCCCTGGATGTGACTGACTCTGACACAGGTGGGGGTTGCTATGTCCTCAGGGGCAGGGGAATATTTGAAGACCCCACTCGGCCTGGGAAGCAGCAGCAGCTGGCGCAGGAACTGAAGGAGCTGATGAGCAGGGAGCAGGCCCTGGACCAGCTCATTCAGAGCTGCTCTCTGAACTTCAAGCATCTGACTGAGGACAAGACCAACAAGAAATATCCTCTTTGGTTGGGAGAACGGGTAAGGGTGCTGAATGCTCATGTCCACCCAGAGTTGATACAGTGCCTCCCTACATGACTGGCCAGCACATCTGTTTCTTCCTTCCTCTTCATGAGTCTGTTGAAGTTACTTTCTCATTAGAAAAGAAAGACAAGTTCAGGGCCTCCCTGATGGCCTAGGGATTAAGTCTCAGGACTATCACTGTGATGGCCTGAGTTCAATCCCCAGCCAGGGTGCTGACCCACAAGGCGAAGCAGACCTCTCCTGTCTCGCCCACTGCTCCCCTCAGCAGTGTATTTCAGTAGATCTGCCTCTTCTGCTCCCCACTCTGTTTGGTAGGCCTATACCCCAGCTCTTCTAAGCAAAAATAAGGAAATAAAATGTTTTAAAAAAATAAAAATAAGACAAGTTTAGGTCACCCTTGAACAACCCAGGAGTTGGGGGCACTAAGCCCTCACCCCCCACACAGCCAAAAATCCGAGTGTAACTTCTGCTTCTCCAAAAACTTAGCTACTAATAGCCTGCTCTATTAATAGCAAGCCTCACTGACAACATACAAGTTGATGATGACATATTTCTATTTACTGTTCATTGAGTGGACACGGCGCATCATAAAGGTCTTTGTTGAGTAGGCTGAGGAAGGACTGACTGGTCTTGCTGTCTCAGGTGGCAGAGATGGAAGAGGTGAGAGGCAGGCAGGCTTGGTGTCAATCAATGGCAATAACAATGACTTTTTTGCTTTTTCATTTCTCTAAAGACCTGGCTCGGGCTTTTCCTGCATTTTCCCCAAATGGTTTAACCTAGTAAGTTTTTGGATTTGACCTGGCATTTGGAAGAATGCTAAGTGTCGTAAGACATATAAACAAGAGACATGTCTTCCTGCCTTCCCAGAGCTAATGATCCAGTTGGAGGGATGAAGCTTTCATATAAAAAGCTGATATAATGCAGCATTTTAAAAATGATTTATATCCTCATTCACTTTCTAAAGGGATTCAAGTTATCATCTGATGTTGAAAACAGGGAACAGTTGTTATTTCTGAGCTGTTTGAGGCGTGAGAAAGAGACATCCAGAGGTTCTAGATAGGTGGCTCAGGTCCCTGCCTGGCATGCTGGGCACTTGAATTCCAAGCAGTCACTTCCCTTGACTCGCCTGCCCCTACACTGGCCTACGTGACTTACCAGGACCTCCGTGCTATCGGCAACTTTAAGGACCAGACGGTGATCGCTGTCAAGGCTCCGCCGCAGACAAGACTGGAAGTGCCTGACAGGACTGAGGTGAGAGGGGAGAGTTGGGGGGACAACAGGCTTAGGAGGAGCTGGGGCAGCTCTGCAGGCTCTGTCCTGGTACTGCCCAGCCCAAGCCTCCTGGTCCATTCTGGGGCCCTTGATCAGCTGGTGATCTCTAAGATGGGCAGGAATATGGGAAGCTGGAAAGGGAAAGGCATCAGGTCTAGACCGAGAAAATCTGTTTCTTTCTGTGTTCCATGGGCTCATCCATTCCTGTACACGTGCACACACAGCACCGTTAGTGCTCACAATAATCCTTCCAGATAAACCATGCTTTCCCTCCCACCTTAGAGGAGCTCCGAACCAAGCAAGCAATGTCGCTGTCACTTATGGACTGCAGGTGTGCTTGGAGGGCCTGGAGAAAGGACGCACAGGTGGAAGATTCCACAGTCGGTGGTGGTCACACTGGGTCCTAAAGAATGGATTAGGACTTTGGCCCGGGGGAGTAGGGACAGGCGAGGGCACCGCAGGAGCATGGGTGTGGAGATCTGAATTCTGTAGCCGTGGTGGCTCAGGCTGCAGGTATGTGGTAGGGAAGAAAGGGATGGGAAGCCCTTGGGCCAGGACCCTTGGTGACAAGTAATAGAAAGTCCAAGCAACTTTAAATGACAGGCCCTGGGGCAGATTTGGAGAGCAGCTAGACTGGATGCGGGCTCCCACTATGACTTCAGATCTGCCTCCGCTCCCCATCTCTCACTCTTGCTTCCTCTGTGCTAACTCCATTCCTGTCTGGGGCCTCCCCTGTGGTGGCAAAGATAGCCTTGAGGATACCGGCTCACCACCCCTGTGGACAGGGAGCTTCCATTTCCCACAAGTCATGGGCCCAACACTGGTCAGATACATCTGAGTCGCATGCCTCCATGAACCTTCACTGTCCCTCTGACGTCCCAGCCTGTACCCCAGGCTCGCTCTGGGAGCGGGGATGGACGCTGGCTGTGCTGCTTCAGCATGACCTAAGCATGGGAGAGGAGTGATTTCCCAAGTGAAAATCAAAGTGTTTTCCCTAAAAGAAGATCTGGGGGTCAGAGGGCAGAGCCTGCGATGCCCACCATGGGCCAGGTGGGGCCGGCCTCCAAACCCAGCTCAGGAGCTGAGTGTGCTCGAAGAGATGGTGGGGACCACGTGTCTGTCCAGGTACAGTAAGTGTCCAACTGCCCAGAGCCATGACCCAGCTTCTCTTCCTCCTCCAGGAGAACCTGCAGATATACCTGAAGAGCACCCAGGGGCCCATCGAAGTTTACCTGTGCCCAGAGGAGGTGCAAGAGCCAGACAGTCCTGCCAAGGATCCCCTCCCCTCTACCTCCACCCTCGGCCCCAGCACCGACTCCGCCCAGGCCAGCAGCAGCAGCACCAACCCTGGCATCCCGGAACCCATGGCATCCCCAGGTAGGGCCCTCTGTCCAGAGGGATGGGTGGTGGGGAGCGTTTCCTCCTGCACATCAACATTTGTTGGGTACCTACTTTCTATGCAGCAGCAGGGGGTTCCTGTAGTTCTGCCCCACAAGTGTGCATTGCACTTCACCCTTCATACCTCTTTGGTCTTCCTAGGGTGGCTGGTGCTGCAGAGGGAGACTACATTTGAATCCCAGCTCTTCCATTTACTTACCGGCTGTATGACCTTGGACGGTTTACTGTACCTCTGCCTCAGTTTCCCTATCTCTGGCTTGGGCAGGGTAATCAATAGTATTTACTTGGCTGTTGTGGGAATTAAATGCATTAATTCAGGTGAAGTACTTAGAACAGAGCCTGGCAATAACTTAGCTTTTATTACCACCTTGACTGCCACAGCCTCTAGTGTATGACAACTACTGGCAGCAAAGCTCCTGGCTCAAAAAGCCCAAAGTAAATGGAAATCACAGGTTTTCTGAGGGAGGCTCAATACATCCTTGGGAGATCATAATTATTGGTGTTTTGAACCACAGCTGTGTACTAGGTTCATCCGTTTGTTCATTACTCTTCATAGCAGTTAAGGTAGGTTTTTAATTCCTAGTTAGAGATCAGTAAACTGAGGCGGAGAGGTCGCGTGACTTGCCCAAAGTTGCCCAACTGGGAGACAGTATAGTGGGGCTTGACCTTTGGGCTCCATCCTGGCGGGAGGGGCTCCCTCCAGCGTGAAGGTGTGTGGCCCAGCTGAAAGCCCGCTGTGCCAGGCAGGAAGAGTGGGAGGCGACCACAGGGGAGCAGAGGCAGGCGAGTCTCCCAGGGCGGGTGAGAGTCTGGAAGGAGGGGAACTAGGAGCCTATGAAGGCCCATCCCCCAGGACAGTTTCTGCCCTTTGCTGGGATCCCACATCAGGACAGACTGTCGGGAGCCTTCAAACCATATAGGCCATAATCTACTTTTTGTTCTCCTAGCAGCAGAATTACCTCAAGTAGAACCCTAGGGTTTAGATAAACACAGAGCTAGAACAGGTCTGATGGGAGAGGATGGGCTGGATTCCATTTCTTTAACTTGAGGGCTGACAAAACTATTGCCTGCAGATCAAATCTAGCCTGTTTTTTTGTTGTTGTGTTTATTCTTTAATTGTCCCCAAGCCAAGAAGGGTTTTCATATTTTTAAAGAGTTGTAAGAAGAAAAATAAGATGACTGTGTGACAGAGACTACAGTGTCCAGCAAAGCCTCAAGTACTTCCTAACCCTTTACAGAGGCTGACTGACTCCTGATCTAACTCAGTCCTTCGTTTTACATATGAATTAATTGATGCCCGGAGAGGGCAAATGACTTTCCTGTGGTCACTCAGAAAGTTGGTGGCAGAGCTTGGGCAAGCACCCAGCCTCCCGTCTTCCCTGGTGTTCTCTCCTGGCACCAGTACTTTTTTCTGTACCCGCCACCTGTCCTTCTGGGCACCTCCCAGTGCTTATCTCCCTCTCCAGACCCGTGCCCCACCCTGCCCTCCCCTCCTGCACTCTACCTTCACACTTCACTATCAGTGTGCCACAGCTCTCCAAAGTAGAACCACTTTCACTTCAGTTGCCCTCTGAGACCTTGGGCAGGATTGGGAGGCCCGCCACTGTAAGCAGGGCAAGGTTTTTACCTCAGATTTACAGTTCAAGAACCTGAGGCCCTAAAAGGAGCTGAGACAGTACTTACGGAGCAGCGCGGTGGCCCAGGAGCCCGCTCTGTCTGCTTTGTGCCATGGCTGCCCCTCTACCTTTGCCTGCGGTCTGAGCTGTCCCTGCTGAAGGGAGCCCGAGGAAGTTTTAGGGAAGCTGTGCCCGTGCTCACATGTACTCACACACACTCCGGGTTCTAGCCTAAAGCAGGATCATTTTGAGATCTGAACACCGGGGGCCCATGCCCCCCAAGAGGAGGCCACTCAGCCTTGAGGTCTGAATTCTGGCCCTCGCTTTGGCTTCACCAGAGGATGCAATAGCAAGCAGCTGGTGCCCTAGCTGCCCTCATCTGTCATGGAAGGGGCTTGAACAAGAGTGGTCTCTGACATCCCCTCCGGGAGGATCCTCTCCAGGCTTTGAGCATCTGAGGTAAACCTACATGCAGCTGAAGGCAGTGGAGTTGAAGTGGGGAGTCCCAGGTCCACGCCTCACCCCCTGTGACTCGGTGACCGAGCAAGTCACTTTAACCCCTCAGAGCCTTTTTCCCACGTCTCTAAAATGGAGGCACATAAATCTCCCTCATGGTTAGTGGGTAGGTTTCAGGAGATGCCACATCACAGATGTGATATTTGAAAACATTCGTGAGAACTGGGCATGTGCTATGTGCAGCTTTGGCGTTAGGAAAATGAGTGCCGGCCAGAGTGCTGTGGAGACACGGTACAAAGAGCACTTCGCTTCTGGACGCGATAAACGGGAAGGGAGAGCAAGGTCCAGCCCGGAGCCTGGCCTGTCCCCTGTGCTGTTGCAGCTACTGCTCCCAGCAACTCAGTGGTGGCCGTGTCTTCCCTTATGAGAAAACTGAGGTGCTGGGGCCCTACAGGCGAGGGGCGGAGCTGGCGTCTGAGCCTCTTGTCCCTCTACACGCCACCCCTCCATCTCTGCACTGTGCCAAATAAATACCTGACTTTTTTTCAATTAAAAAATGTGAATTTAAATTTCATCTTCTTTGAGCCTCAGTTTCCTCATCTCTACGTAGGGGTAACAACTTGAGTACCCCCAGGGCCACTTGAGTGTCAGCCCCGGGTGAATGGGGTTCTTGTTGACAAGGCAGCACTCAGACCCAGCGCGGGGGTTCTGCAGACCAGCTGTTCTTCACCTGCTCTTATCATTCAGTCCTCTCAGCAACCTGCGAGATAGGTGTATCTCGTTTTAGATGGAGGCTCAAACAGAAGCTCATATACACTAGGTCGCTTGCCCTTGTCTGTCATGGGAGCATTTGAACAGGCGTCCCCTCCAGGCGTCCGCATTTAAGCCTAAATGCAGCCGGAGGCACAGGAGTCAAAATAGGGAGCCTGGGGTTTGAGTTCACACCTCCGGTGACTTGGTTACACAGCTGTTGAAGGTTGGTCGCTCTGAAATACCAGCGCAAACCAAAGCAATGCTTGGTTGAGATTTGAGGAATGACTCAAATGACGGGATTCTGGGCATCAGGAAGTATTGGTGGGGGAATTCCAGCATCCCATTCCATACCCTGTAGGAAATCACCTTCTCACCACTATCTGGTAATGCCCTCCTTGGTGTGCTGAAGAGTGAGCTTGACCAGTGTGGCCAGAGAGGCTGTGTGTGAGGTGTGGGGGCAGGCAAGGGAGGGGTAGAAAGAGGGACAGGGACCAGATCACAAAGGGCCTTCTCAGCCTTAGGCGGAACTTGAGTTTTATTTGAAGCCATTTTTAACTTGAGCCCAGATTTCAAGGGGCAAGAGTGGAAGCAAGGTGGCTGGCAAGGAGGCTCCTGAAGGGGTGTAGGTGAGAGGGGCATGGGCTAGGGCCTGGATTATGGCAGTGGAACTAGAGAGAAAGGAACTGCCCAGAGAAAATTTACCTGCTACGGAGGTGACTTAACTTTCTGCAGGGTTGAATGCAGAAGTGTCAGGATAACAGGTGATTCTTGGGTCTCTGGATTGCAGCAACTGAGTAGGCGGTAGTTGATTTACTGCTATGGGCAAGAACAGGGGAGACATAGGTGGCTGTGACATGGGTGCTGATGCAGCTTAGTGGAGATGTGAGGGAACAGCTGTGCAGGAGCCATGATGGGTAGGTCTAGAGAGGGTCTTGAGGCCAGGGGCCGCTGAGATCACCCCGAAAGGAGCACAGTGGAGGAGAGAGGCGAGCACACGGTCATCCAGAGATCCGAAGACTGCTCCAGGGCTGAGACCTGACCAGAAGCCCTTGGGCACCAGAGCCAGGTGTGACCTTGTCTGTTTGTCTCCAGCGCCAGCGCTGACTTCCCAGCAGGTCCTGCCACCACCGCCACTTCCACCACCCCTGGTCCCCCTGGAGGCCACTGACAACATGCTGGAGCTGCCACACCCACTTCTGCAGCAGACAGAGGACCAGTTCCTGTCCCAGACACTGCCCTGCAGCTCCCCGCTGATCAGCTTCTCCCCGCCCTTGGACCAGGACGACTACCTGTGGGGCCTGGACGGGGGTGAGGGCATCAGTGACCTCTTCGACTCCTATGACCTCGGGGACCTACTGATTAATTGAGTGGCCTTGCCTCCCGCAACAGCCCCTCCCCTGTTGCTACCTCCTCATAGACTGACTGACAGGCCCTCTACCGGCATAGGGATGGCAAACATAGGGTGCTGCCCTCAGGGTGGGGGGTCCCCTCCTCTCCTTTCCTAACCCTGCAGACAAGCTGTCTGGGGGCATGTGGAGCATCCCAATGAGGAGGGTGTCAGGGGTTGGGTCCTAGCTTTTCTAATGGCAGCTTGGCCTGGGAAGGCCCATCCAGCCTTCTGACCTCTGACCTTTTCCATGAAGGGCCACAGGGCAGGTGACCAGGTCCAGGGAAAGGACCTGTCACCACCTTTTGAGGGATGATTAGGATCCTCAGTTTACCAAGAAGCACTTAATGCCTTTGTATTTATTTCAGGTTGAGTTTTGTTTGTCTTCCCTGGATTTCAGCAGGGAGATTGTTCTTGTTTCTAGTAAGCCTTTCCCTCAGACAGGTCCAGCACTGTCCATTGTCCAAAGGCAGGCCTGGGCTTTCAGGGGCCCAGGCCAGCTCCCTGGTGTCCCCACAGCAGTTGGGGACGGGTCCCTGAGGGCCGCCCAGTCTGCTGGAGCTCTAATTGCACTTAGGCTGTAATTCCAGTGAGCAGTGGCTGCGGGCCCCTGGGCCTCTCCTCTCAGCCGCTGTCTCCAGGTGAGGCACCAGCCTTGGCTCCCTGGTCTTCTCTGCCCCAGAGTTGTTTCCAGCCATCCCAACACAGGAGACACTGGGTCTCCTCAGGGAATGGGAGCCGCCAGTTAGGGATACTCTTCCTATGGAATTCCTTACCTCTTAGAATGTAAAAACCTGCAGCAGGGAGTCAGCAGAGAAAAACTCCCAAGGAAACTCCAACAGGAATGGCTGCCTTGGGCACCTTTTCTCTGCTGTTGCCTCACCCTCACATGGTCTGTTTCACAGCGAGGACCTGGGAGGCTGAGGCAGCTCCCCCACAGAGATGGTGGGATTCACTGCCCCAAGGCACTCTGGGAACTGCCTCTGTGGTCCTCTCCTTCCCTGGAAGGATTATTTTTGCCAATTTTATTAAAGAGGTGATGCTTCAAGGGCCTCACTTGCCCCCAGCTCTCACACAGACCCTCTAAGGACAGGTGATCAGGATGTAGTGACTTGTTGACCCCTTTTGTCACATGAATGCTGAAGGGGTGTGGCAGAGAGAGGTGGTCATTGTAGACCCAGACCATGGCAGCTAATGGGGAGGTGGGCTCGTGTTACCCTCTCCAGACTTGGGGTCCTGAGAAGGTCTTTTGGTCTCAACCCGTCTCACCCCTCCCTCTACCCCTCTAGAAGCTTACTGTTCCACAGTGTTCCTTTATCCCAGCTGGGTGGGGGTGTCGGGGGTTCAACTCTCTTCTACCCAGTCTGGCTTGGGGGTACTCTGGGCTGAACCAAGCCTGTGCCTTCTGGAGAGAGGCAGCGCAGGATGGTGGGCTGAGAGGCCCGCGACCCACCCTCAGGGAGCTAGGTGTCCTCAGGGGCTCAGCTGGGCAGCACTTTTTTGTTTGTAGCATTAAGTTGGCTTAATATATGAAGTTGGTCTTGTTGGATTGCTCCTGAGCATGCCTGCTGGCATCTGAATTTTGGGAGGTGTATTTGTTTGGGAGTGGGGCCCAATGTGAGCTAATGCCCAGCGGGGGACAGTGGTGCCTTGTCATTTGCTCAACTTCCTGAGCCCTCAAGTTCTTGATCTCCCCAGAATGGTCAGCAGGTGACAGGCACCCATTCTATGGACAGGACTCGTGTGTATGTTTCACAGAAATGCCTTTGGTCTCCCTTCCCACATACCCACAGGGGTCTTATCAGAAGCCCATCCTAAAGCCCAGCACATCAAGGGTCAACCTTGGCCCTTGGGTGAGAACGGGGTACAACATGGGCTCTGGTTTGGGGGGTGTGGGGTTGAGATGGTGTTGCTTTTCTGAGGTCTCTGCTGGGCCACCATTTAGCTGTGCACGATCTCTGAGGAGAGAAACTTGACTTCCATGCCTTGGTCTCTGTCTAGAGCTTTTCCCAGAATTAAATGAGAGAGAAGGGAAGAGGCCTGCAGGACCCATGGAAAATGAGCTTACTGGTAAAGTCTTAAGCTTATTCCCCAAATGCCCAGCTAGAGGGTTGGACAGAAGGGCTGCCCCTGGCATTATGGCCTGTGTCCTGAGCAGCTGCTCCCCTCTCCTGAGCTGAACCCCTCCGTCCCCTGCCTGGCCCAGGGCTGGACTGTTCAGAACAAACCTTAAACGCCCTACTTTCTTGTCAATGATACTTGAAACCCCCAAGTTCCACTGGGTGCTTTAAGAATGCGTTCTGAGAGACAGTTCCTTTGTGGGCCAAGTAAACTTTAGTGCAGAGGAAAAGCCAGTTTCCTTCTGAGGTAAATTATTTCTACCAGGAAATTTCCCAGCCTCTCCCCCTCTCCCTCCCTCTTCCTACAGCCCCCCCTCCCCCAGTCACTTGTGTACCCAGGGGCATCAAAGGCTGGGGGCTCCAGGGAACCCAGCAGCATTAAATTGTTCCATTGGAGATTCAAAGAGCTTACAACCAGGGACATGGTCACGCACCCCTTCCTGTTAAAAGTGTTAGATGAAGCAGAGCAGGGTCCCTTCCCAGGACCGTTGATCCATGGACCTGCACGGCTCCAGGGGAGAGGGGGTGGTGCAGCTTGGAAAGCCGGTTCCATGGGGTTTTGACTTGATTCTCCCAAAGTGTTCTGAGCATCAGTTCTGCACAGTGTTTAGAGTGTTTAGTGAGTTTGGGTGTTCCCGTGTCTGAGCCTTTTGTGGCTTCGTGCATTTGCAGTGAAAGCCCTTTGAGGGTGCTTGCAAGCAGCTTTCTGGTTCTTATCGTTGTGTCCCAAGGTCCCCACCATCCTGGGACCTTATTCCCCCACACAGGGATCCTCAGTGACCAAGGGCCAGCCAACCTGTGGGCCCCTGGGTGAATAGAGAAACACCTGGTCTGTGGCACATGTGTACCTGAGGGAACCTGGTCCCTGTGCTGGGGCTCCGTATGGGTCACTTAGCCTGGTCTCCCCTGGGTCCTGCTTTGATGAGCACCATGTAAACCTTGTCTTGTGATTACTGGGCATTAAACAGCAACTCTGGGCACCTTGGCTCTATTGTGTTTTCTGGAGGTCATTACTCAGGACAGGTGTGGAACAGTCCTGACCAGGCATGTTGGCCTGAGTTCTTCCCAGAAGCACCCTCCTCGCTTTCCCACATTGACTTGTTACCCTGCCTGAAGTCTCACCACAGACACACTGAAATTAGCTGCCACCTCTTCCACAGCGTGAGCCCCTGTCCTGCTCTGCCTCCATCACCTCACTTGTGCAACTTCAAAGGCTTCCTTCATCTTCTTGTCGAGACCCATTCTCCATCCCATCTGCTGTATCAGTGTTTCTCAAAGTGTGGTCCTCTGACCAACATCACCTAGGAATTGACAAGAAATGCGTATTCTCAGGCCCCACCTGTCCCCTTAAGAAATTCGGGGTCGGACCTAGAATTCTATCTTAATGAATCCTCCAGGTGATTCTGGTGCATCTAAGACCCATACTCTCTGCTACCCTGAGACCCTTCTGAAATGCAGCTCTGATCAAGTCATTCACCTACTTAGCAGGTGGCCTGCTTTGTCCTCAGGATGAAGCTCCACTTAGCTCAGCATGAAAGTCCATTTACAATCTGGAAAGGCTGGTCCTGCATTTCCAGCCTCACTGGCCTCCTTGTCCACCACCCACAGCCACATGGGACTTCTTTATCAGCTCCTGAAGATAACGCGTTTTCCCTCTTATGCTGTTCACCCAATCAGGGTACCCTTTCTGTCCCCCCAAACAGACTCTGTCTTCTTCAAGGCCCCATTCAAGAAGAGTTTTGTAGAGTGGTCCTTGATATTAATATGTAGTCACTAGTACTTTGTACCTGAATATGGCTGTTTTTAGGTTATTGTATACCTACTATGTGTTAGGCGTTGGGGAGATAGATGTGAACAAGAGTGGTCCTCAGCCTCGGGGTGCTCATAAGATGTCGACATAGAAATACAATTACAAGTAATGTGACAGTTGCAGTAATGAACATATAGGAGTTGGGAGGGTGTTGTTAGGGAAGGTTTCTGGAGGATATGTTGGAACTTAAAAACATGTTTAGTGGGGCCTCCCTGGTGGCTTATGGGTTAGCCTCAGCACTATCACCACTATGGCCTGAGTTTGATCCCTGGCAAGGGAGCTAACCCAACACACATATGGTGCAGCAGACTTCTCCTTTCTTGCCCACTTTCCCCTCAGCAGTGTATTTCAGTAAATCCACCTGTTCTGCTCCCCACTGTGTCTCTGGTGAATCCTCTCACCCCCCTGCACCTCTGGCCTATACCCCAGTTCTTCTGTGCAAAAGAAAACATACTTAGTTAAACCAGGCACAAATGATCACGTGATCTCGTTTATATAAGATGTCCAGAAAAGACAAATCTGTATGGATAGAAAGTAGAGTAGTGGCTTTGGAGAAGGGAGTAAGGGAGTTAATGGGAACAGGGCTTTAAGGGGGGTGGTGATAAAAATATTCTTTTTTTTTTTTTTTTTTTTTTTAATAAATTTTTTTTTTTTTTTTTATTTTATAGAGGCATGTTTTATTTATTTATTTTGTTTGTTTGTTTGTTTTGTTTATACATGCACTGGGTACAGTCAGAAGCACGGGAGGGTGAGAGAATTCACCAGAGCCAGAGCGGGGAGCAGAGCAGGCAGAAGGACCAAAGTACACTGCTGAGGGGAGCAGCGGGTGGCAGGAGAGGTCTGCGCACCATGTGGGATCCTCCGCCGGTGGCCGGGGAGCAGCCGGGGATCGAACCGGCGCCGCAGAGGCCACGGGCAGCTTCGCAACCCAGCGCTCAACCGCTGCGCCACCGGGGAGGCCCAGTGATAAAAATATTCTAAATTTGAAGTGGTGAAATTATAGAACTCTGAATATTTTTTAAAACATTGTATATGTTAAGTAAGTGTATTGAATGCTATGTGAATTATATCACAGTGAAGTTACTCTTAAATGGGTATAGAGATTGGTATGACAGTGTTCTACAACTGATACCTAGTAATAGTTGTAGTTACTCATAACAATTATAGAAATCATTGCATGGCATTGCATACTTGAAATAGGTAAATTTTCTATTATGTTAATTATATATCTCAATGTTTTAAAAAAAGTTTTCAGGCAGTAGTTAAGCTGAAAATATATGAGAAAAAAACAATTTTCTAGAAACCAATAAATTTAACCAAATTGACTTAAGAAGAAACAGAAGTCATTAGCTAACTTGAACTGGTATTCAAGAATTTCTGACTCTAAATGATGTCAGAGCCAGGTGGATTTATGAATTTTATTACAGCTTAATCTTGAGCTGATACACTTTGCAGAGAATGGGAGAAAAAGGAAAGTCATCTAACTTATTTTATGGTTTGATCCCCAAACCAGACAAGGACAAACAAGGAAAGAAAATCACAGAGGGATTCTCTCAAATGTGGAGGTACAAATCCTAGATAAAAATTAGCAAATGAAAGATAACCTTGCAAAATAAACCATGGCCAAGTTGGATGGACCCCAGGAATGCAAGCACATTATCAGCACATTTTGCTGGTGCAGAATGTGAGATAGAAATGTTACTTTTTGGAAGTTTGCCGGGGAATCTTTCTCATTTATTCACTATATTGGGGTGTCTGTTGTGCTGGGTGTTATTCTGTGTGTTATTTGTGTGTAACACAAATTCCTGCTTCCAAAAATGGAAAGAAAGCAATTCTGCAATCTTTGCAATCCCCCTCATCAACAAAGTTAAAAACCCCACATGACCATCTCCATAGATACAAAAAAAAAACCTTGAAAAAGAAAAATTCAGCACTCATTTATGATTTTTAGGAACCTGATAGAGACCACATAGAAATTACTAGTTGATAGTAATTATCATACTTAATGATAAAACTTTAGAAGCAAGAATACCAACTGTCGCTCTAATAAATCAGTATCATCTTAGTGATTCTGGACAAAGCAATAAGACAAGGGAGATTTGAAAAAAAACTCAGGGCTGTCTGCTTCAAACCTCTGTGATTAACAATTACGCTCTCCTGGGCAAGGTTCATTTATTTATCAGACATTGAGAGATTTATTGTGCCAGGTAGGGTCATAACCACTGCTCCTTCCTTGTCCAAATGTCCAGGGTATTGACCTGTGTCAAGAATTGGCTTCCTCTTTCCACAGATGGACACACCAGACAGGTGTATGTCTACAACAGAACTCTGGAGGTGCATGAAGTTCTAGATGTCAGCAGAGCTAGAAGACCAGACTTTGCTGGGTGTCCTCTAAGAGAGTTTCTAGCAGTGCTCAGCAGTTTGACGATACTATTTTGTTATGTATACTCATGTATTTCATTACTTCTTTTTTTTTAAATATTCATATAAGAAGTGGGGTATAGGCCAGAGGTATGAGGGGTAAGAGGATTCACCAGAGACAGTGGGGAGCAGAACAGGCAGATCTACTGAAATACACTGCTGAGGGGAGCAGCGGGCAAGACAGGAGAGGTCTGCTGCGCCATGTGGGTATCTCCCTGGCCGGAGATCGAACTCGTGCCGCAGAGGCTGCAGATAGCTTCATAGTGCTGAGATTTAACCCCTTGTGCCACCAGAGAGACCCTCATTTGCTTCTTGATCCTGCCATCAGAATAGGGATAAAACTGAAGTTTGGAAAGTTTAAGATACTTAGAAACATAAAAAGAATCAGAAGGGATCTTCACTCTTGTTTTACCAACATTTTTTGAGCACCTCTTATGTGCCTGCATCTGTTAGGTGCTGGGGAAATGAGGGCCCCTGCTGCCTTCAAGAAGCTTATGGCCTATTATAATTCAAACCACATATTGTATAGATTGTGTATTCATTTAAACAAACACTTTGAACCTCTGTTCTAGGTTGGTGGATCTCAAACTTCAGAGCTAGTCAACATCATCCAGAAGGCTTGTTTGAACAAATTGCTGGGTCCCCTGGCCAGAGGTTCTGATTCAGTAGGCCAGAGGTAGGGCCTGAAAATGTGCATTTTTTTAAAAGATTATTTATTTATACAAGAACCGGAGTACAGGTCAGATGCGCAGGAGGGTGAGAGCATTCACCAGAGTGGGGAACAGAACAGACAGACTGACGAAATATACTGCTGAGGGGAGCAGCGGGTGCGACAGGAGAGGTCTTCCGTGCCATGTGGGACCCTCGCCGGCTAGTGGGGATCAAACCAGCGCTGCAGAGGCCGCCGACAACATCACAGTGCCGCACTCAACTGCCTGCGCCACTAGGGGAGGCCCAAAATGTGCATTTCTAATACACTTCAAAGTGTTACTAAGGCTGATGGTCAGGGAGACCGCTCAGAGCTGCTGCACTTCAAGAGCCACTGCACTAGGCAATGTGTCCACACGGTTCAGCCATTACACAAGGTAAAGGAAATGAAAATTAAACAGTCCCCCCAATCCTGATAAGTTTACAGCCTAATGAGTTTTGATAGGCATTCACCCACTCATTCATTCATTTATTCCACAAACCCAGACCTGAATATCATTTAGTCTTTGGGGAAACCTCATGAAATGGATATTGTGATTGTTCCCTTGCTACAAATAAGGACACTGAGACTGTGCGAAGTGAGGTAATGGGCACAGTTCACAGCACGTGACACCCCCAGGCAGTGAGTCCCCAAAAGTCCCCGATCTTTAGTTAAACTGCCATTAGTAAGTTACTAAATGGGCGCTATATGTTCTACTGTTAAGGAAAGAACTAAGTGCTCTGGGAGCCCAGCTGCACTCCATCCATGGGAGAATGAACTCAGAGAGGTCACACTGGGATGGGGCCTGACAGAGACATTTGCCAGTGGATAGAGAGAAGGAGGATGACATAATAGAGGAAACTACTCCAGAAAAGGCCAAATAGCTCCAGGGTTAAAATATATAAACTGGAGTAAATCCCAATTCACTGGTCTCAGACTGGTGCCAACTCCCCACTGACCACAGCAGAGTGCCCAGCAGGGAATTTGTTGGCCAGTGGCTGTGTTGACCTAGTCACACCTGCTCCTGGTGTGTGTTCTGGCAAAGGGATCATAGATGGACGACCAGGTTAGTTCTCACCATGGGAACCACTGCCCTCTAGTGGCCAAATCTGCCCAATGCTGAAAGAAGGCATTGGAAAAAGAACTACACTTTAATGAGACCTTTAAGGACCAGGTTTTATTTTATTTGATCTCCCATAAACCTTATAGAATAGATATTATTATCTCCAATGAAGATCAGAGAGGTGAAGTTACTTGCCTGAGGTCACACAGAAGTGGCAGACAGGCCATGCCAAGGGTGAGGTGAGCCTGTTACCTTACCTGCCTCACGTGCTGTACCTTGGAGGTAGAACTGGACCGGAATCAGGTCATCCAAGTTCCCAGGCTCATGGCTTTCAACACCATGTGCTTCAGCCTTCTCACTGGCATTATGGGGATTCCCATAATACCATGTTTTCTGTGTGTGTACAGTAGTAGGTTCTAGGCAAATAATGGAAGTCCTATGTCATGAAGGGCATGACTGATGTCCCATAATGTAACCTGTGAGAGACACATTACTGCAGGAGCAGCAAAGGAAGTATGGTCTGTGTGTGTGTGTGTGTTGTGTCCTAAGGGTACAGGCCCTCAGGGCAGCCTATAGGCTGTATCCCAGACACAAGGAATTCCCAGGCAATGCATTCCCTGAGGCAACCCAATAGGAAGTGCCTGTTAGATAAATGACCATAAACTCCAGCGTAGTTGATCTGCTGTCAGTTGTGATGACACCTGCTTTGTACTGTGTGGTCACAGAGAAGGAAAAGGCTCACTGGTATGAAGGTGATTTGAATTCCTTTGATCCAGACATGCCCAGCTTGGCTAGTTTAGCTCTTCTCATTTTTTAAAAAAGATTTATTTATGCTTACAGGAACTGGGGTACAGGCCAGAGGTGGATGGTGAGAGGATTCAACAGAGACAAAGTGGGGAGCAGAATAGGTGGATTGACTGAAATACACTGCTGAGGGGAGCAGTGGGCAAGACAGGAGAGATCAATCTTCCATGCCATGTGGGTCAGCACACTGGCCGGGGATCGAGCTCATGCTGCAGTGGCAGCAGATAGCTTCATAGTTCTGTGCTTAACCCCTTGTGCCACCAGGGAGGCCCCCCCTTCTCATTTTTGCCTGGGTTTTTCATAAGGGTGCAAGTCAGATATTTCCCCTAAAACCAACCTTTTGAAAAAACACTTATTTATATACACATACAAGAACTGGCATGTAGGCCGGAGGTGCTGGGAGAAGGGAGAGAGGATTCCTGAGGCAGTGACATCTATGACATCTGAGTACACAGGAGATAGGCAAAGAAGTTGGAAGACCAATGTAGGCAGAAGGGAAATGAATGCAAAGCAGACTGCTCCTCGCCACTAGGATCAAGTCTAGTTCCTTTGTAGGGTTAGAGTCCTTAAAGCCTAAGAGTTACTAGAACCTTTTACATGTTGTGCAGC